CTCGTAAATAACATCGCGGTGATTATTCGTAGCAACAAATAATTCTCGGCTGATTGAAACTCCCTGACAGCGGTATCAAAATTGATTAACGCACTGGCAATTTCAAAACTGGCGAGCCGATCGCAAATCACGGCAGCCGACTGTGTGTGTGTGTGTGTACGTACTTTCGGTCAGGTGTCAGTTTTGGCGGAGCATAAAGTTTCAAATTATAACGAGCTGCAGCGTTCGGCAACGATCGGATCATCGAGTAAAATGCATTTATAAGTACGCATTATAGAATCGAGCAGTCGTGATTGATTTACAGGCTGTTAGGTCGTAAATATAAAACGCGTATACGGTCAGTCTCTCTCTAGCTCTCGTTGGCGTGTGCGTCATGAGCTCGTGCGTGCGAGCCAAAAACGCGCGTATCAAAGAGCGGAGGCGCGAAAATAGACGTCTGCACTCGATACAAATGCGGGCCAGTCGCGTCGATGTGTAAAGAAAAGGATATGCCGTGAGAAAAGCAAGCCGAAAGCACGCGTCAATTCGGCGACGAGATAATTATCGAGCTCCGAAGCAGCGATTATTGTTCCCAACGCGCCGCCGCCGCGGCGGCTCGGGCTCGCGATCATCGCGCCTCGACAGGTCAATATTTGGGTGACTTGACACTTGTTGTTGGGTGTTTGTTTCGCATTGTGCCCTACGGATCTCGCCTTTTAACGGCGAATCCAACAGTCATCGCGAACGTCGCTGTGAGACACCACTCTTTGGGTCTTTTAATATTTTTTTGCAGCCGATAGCTGTGTCGCTTAATTATTACGTAATCAATCAAAAGCCATGCGCTATTATGTACGAGTCCTCGACGCGGCCTGCTTTGTCACACGTCGTAAAATGATCGTTAATAAATTAATCCATCGTCGCGCGGGCGTGTACTCGTGTCACCCCTGCAGTGTGCCTCGCCGTCGTCGTCGTCGTCGGCGGCCCCGTTGCCTTCGTCGTTGTCGCATCGTACGACTTCATTATACCACGAGCGCACGCGTCCAACGTTTCGATTTTTTTTCCCTTTTTTCGGGCTTCCGGTTACCCGTCCACGTCAGCTTATTATCAAATACGTCAAACGTTCCGGCTAATTCGACGTTTATTCGACGTATTACGGACACTTGCGCGCTCCTTGCTTGATTGATGAAATCAGTTTTTTACGCTGGGCACGCGTACACCCGATCGCGCTGCAGTAACACGAGAGCCGGATTATTTCTCGTTTTTTAGCTTTTCCTAAAGCTACACGATACATTTTCGACAATGGATCGACAACCGATGGTAACCTATACCCTCGGCTATTGTCCCGTGCGTGTGGCGCTCTTATTTGTTGAAAACCCATCGAAATGTACGCGCGTACTTTGTTATCGGAGGACAACATTTTCGCTTCGACTCGATACGTCACGCGCAAAAGTCAAGATCGTCATTAAATTGCAGGAGCAACAATAACGTAAATACGCTCAGCTTCTTTGCGAAAAACTTGAAATATTTTGATACCTTGTGTAATATATAATAACTCGCGCCGCTGTGTACGTAGATTTTTGCCAGAAAAAAAAAACTTCTCAAGTACGTGCGCAATGCAAGTGTTTGAAGCACGATGTAAAATTTTTTTTTTCAAACCCTTCAAAACTTACTGCGCGCGCAAGCTGCTGCGTCATCATTAAAATTCACATACTATAGCGCGCGTATACCCACTCCCCCCCTCTATAAAACCAGGCATCCGTAAAACGCTCGTACACACGTTTATGAATACGCGTATCGTAAAGTTTGAGAGAAAATTTTTACTCCACACGCAGTCGTACATCATACAGCCATGTGTGAAAAATAGAAAAAAGCAAAAAAAAAAAAAAAGAAAACTCCCTCCCAGAAGTGAGAATACATCTCTTTTTCCGAGTTTTTTTAATTAAAAGACTGGATTTTTATAGAGGTACCTTACCTTATAATAGGAATAAAATTTAAGATTGGCAATTTCTCGCGTACTGCAATTTTTGCCCCGATGCTCAGTGATGATCTCTCGGACATGGCTAAAAAATGTTCTTATTTCGACGCACAGAACCAAGTGCAGAGCACGGATGCTAACCGAGGTTATCCGTCCAATTTGACGTTCGATGTCCCCTTATTTTAGCATGTAGTCAGCGTAGTGCAGCTCCGTAGCAGAACCTATACATAGTATACACACATAGGCACGTGGCGGGTCACGTGTCTTCGGTAAGAGGATATCCGCGCCGGCAGTCCTGTTTAGATCAGAAAGCATGGCATCGGCTCGGGATCGAATCTCAGCAGGCGCAAAGTTGAGAGAAAGAGAGCATAAGAGAGAGAAAGACAGAAAGAGAAAACGAGGCTTTGGCTTCATACCCAGCACTTTTTTTGCTCTTTAATCTTGCGCGTCTCGAGACATAAACTCAATTTGATTCGATGAGACGTGGTGTTATATTGTACTCGTGACTGTCTCGACTCCGAGTGTGCAGTGCGAGTGCAAATTTTTAATTACTCATCGATGACACTCGAGACACGGAATACTCGGAGTATAGAGATGTAACTATGTGGAGGTGCGACCAAGTGTATATTTACATGTTCAAGTATTAGATATTGGAGACCGCGTAGAGGAGAATCGACATACGAAACGGACTATTTTCTTGCTCGCGTATAAATGCGGAAAATTCTGCTCTGCTACACATCCGGATTATTTGCATACAAGCACTCGACGAACCGCCGCGTTTCTTACATAGATATAGAGACTATGTATAGTTATGACGTTTCCGCTAGCTCCTCTTGTGGTCAAGGATTATCCCTGCGCGAAGCGAGCGAATAATGTGGACAGACAGTTTCGGAAGAGGGGGCGTGGAGCGACTCAACGCACCTAAACAGCGACGCGATGGGAAAGATACATGCGCGGCTGTATAGAAAACATAACGAGCCGATCGAGATAAAATTCTGCAGTTGACGCGGATGACGTATAGCTTTTAACTTTTTCCAAACGCTGCTATAGATTGCCTTGATTCACGTCAAAAATATTAGTAGCGATAGCATCGCAGCTTCGCCTCGTGTTTATATCGAAGCCTATGTGTATAAATGAGACTCTGCATTTATTGTAATAAAAGAGCGAGAAGAAGGTGTAAAAACGTCCGTTCGGCTACGAGTTTTGTCGTTTCACCTCTTCAGGCTCGAGCTATATATGTCGATTCATAAACGTGCAACTTCCGCTACGCTCCAACATTGTTTGTGCCTATATGTATACGAACTAGCTGCTCGTGCACGTATGTGCTCGTTGAATGTGCAGTAAACACGATGCGTGCGTGTAGCACTCGAGGAGGTTTACGTACAAATAACAAAAGGCAACGCTCCCAAAAACAGCTGAAAAGCGAGAAAAAGTTCAAAACCCCGAGAAGTGACCGAGCGATGTATAGCGCGAAACACAATAAGGTCAGCGTGTGCCTTGCGGTCCGAGGCTACAATAGAGCCGCGCGCAGCGCGTGGGTCACTTTATACAGACTAATTCGTTTTCCATTGGAAAGCCCCTCGACGAGGCACACTAAAGTACAAGTAGATTATTATTATGTATCGGACAGCACCCGGTCACTTCAACTTATTATATACGAGACGAAGCAACAGCTGAAGGAGCAAACTCGGCTAATTTTTTTATTTCCAAACTCTCGAGAAACTCGTGTACAAATTTGTACCTTAGTATACAACATTTCGATCGTAATTTGACTAGAAATCAACAAGTTATCTCAGGATAGACATTTATATTTATTGTCTCCGTGGCTGTTTTTTTTTCATCTCCTCCGTGTATACATACGTTATAAAAAGTCAATTGAAAATCATTCTGGTGTATCTATCGGAAATAAGCCGCGAACGACTGGTGGAGATGACAAAAAGAGACCTGCTACTGCGGTGCTGATTTTCATTGTTAGTACCACGATGGAAATTCGCTCGAGATGAATTGCGGTATTAGCCTCAGTGGTGGCGGCGGCAGCGGCGATCTCCTTGGAATATCAGCGAGAGCACTCATGCGGACAGGCGACATCCGGCCACGCTTTCTGCGGTTTCAAGCCTTTTTTTTCGCTCTTGATGTCTCGCGGAGAAGCAGCACAGCAGCAGCAACGGCAGCATCGGCCGAGAATCTTTTCTTTCTTTTCTGCGCGCTGTCTGATTCGAAGAAATTCAACAGCGATGTTTGTTTAGGGCCCAAAGCAATTGTGATCGAACGATGCAAACAGAGAGAAAGAAAAATGCATAAATTATGCAATCCAGCGAGGATCGATGCTCCATTTGTGCATCGCTGGAATATAAATCGCACCTTTTTTGCTTACGAGAAATAGATCGAATCTCCTTATTTGTAAAGAATTGTCCAAAGATGCAGCGTGGACGATTCTGATTATTTTTTTGCATTTTATATGTTAGTGTAATTTCAATTCAAACGCAATTACGGAACTTTTCCAAGTATTAGTAAAAATGTTCAACTACGATCAAAAAATACCCGATATATTATTGATAACATACGAAAAAATGTTAGAATGAATCGAATTGTCTAAAAATGTAATACTTGGAAAGAAATTAATATTTAGGTAAAATGTTTGCCAATAAAACGAGTTTAGTACAGCAAAGCATTAGCCAGTTGAAAAACCGTAGAGCAATGTCAGTGCAAAGGTAGACGGCCCTTTGGAGCACGAAATGTTTCGGCTGGCGGCCAACACGGTAGTGCACACAGGACGCCGAAAGCGAGAGCCAAGTCCTGAGGTAAATGGGGGGAGCAGAGAGAGAGAGAGCGCGACAGTTTGCTCGATTTCGAGGCGGAGCATGGGGCGGTCTCAGTGCCCCTCTCGTAGTCGGAGCGTCGGCAAGAGCTAGGTGCCGAGGCGGCCGCCGAGCGGCGCTGGCGTCCCCCGCGTTGCATGCACATTTCTCTCCGCTCGGCGAAATGCTCGAGTCCCGGCTTTGTATGGCAAAGTTCCTTAATCGGGCTCGTGGTTCCGTGCGCGAAGCATCGCATAAACAGAGAGAGACGACGCGCAAGGAGCGCGCGTGTGCATAGAGCCTCGTCGTCGTGGTTGCCGCGCTCGGGTCCGCTCAGCGCCGCTGCCCCTCTCGTTATAGTTGGCGCGAAAAATAAAAATAAATAAAAAATAAAAATAAACGATCTGTGCGTGGAACGTATCGGGTGTTTGTCGAGTGCGTGATATACAACGAGTGTGATATATATTAGGCTGAAATACATGCATACGAGTGAACAATGTTAATGTTGCCGGAGTGTTGTAAGAGTGTCGATCAATCGAACGTTCGGGCGACGAGCTGCTGCGAGTGCGACGAGAATCTCAAGAGAACCGGTGAAAAACACAGGCACGTAGTATTTGTACCTATTTAGAGAGGGATCGGGTACTGTACCAGTCGAGCAAAGAACTGCGTGCGGAGCTTGTCACGTTGCGGGTGCAGTGCGCGGGATAGTGATAATGTGCTGCGCAATCGACATGACTTACTAGGTTCACAAGTCATCGCAGCCACTCGTGCGCTTCAGGTATCGGTTAGGGTAAGCCTCGATTTTGCCTCGAGCAGCGCAGCAGGTGCAGCAGCAGCAGCAGCAGGAACCGCCGTCGCGATCGCCCGGCTTGGCTGCGGAGAGGAGAGCTTTGGATATCGGCTAGCCGCGGCACGACTCTCGGCTTACAAGGGAGAGCATCAGCCACCCTGATGGGAGTTTATGAGGAGCGCGCCCCTCCCACCACCGGCATGCACTGGGTTAGCAGCACTTTACGTGTGAAATGTATATACTATATAATATACACGTTGCATATAGGATGATTAGAAAAAAATATGTGTGTGAGAGCTCGGCATCGAGTCCGTGTGAATGCTTCCCATGCCTCTCGCGAATCATAATGTAACATGTTGTGCGCGAGCTTGACTTTTCACGAATCCGTGCCAGATAGGCTATCGAGTCGTTCCCCGAGTCTCTCGACTGCCGCACGAGAATCGCGCGCAACGTTTGATAATTCGCGAATATGTAAGTACGAACGCGATGGGAAAGCCAAACTCGGCTGCTGCTGCTTCGAGTCGGTCTCTCAATTGCGGCATATCCGAATGCATTTTTGCAGTCGCGCGAGCCTGTTGTCTATGCGGCTCGTGGAAAGAATTTCAACGCTCGTTTTCAATCGTCACCTCGTTCGGATCGCTTGCTTATCTCCCTCTCCATTTAATGGATCGTATAATATAATAAAGCAGTCTTGGATATGCCATGCGGTAGCGTGTACAGCGTCACGTCGGCTCGCGTACAAATTATTATAGATATAGCATTTAATGTGTCGTTGGCGCGCGAGCGAGCCGGCCCGAAACGATGTAACAATTATCCATTGCAATCGTCTAGACGCATAATATGCCAACGACTAAGTCGCACACACGAATACGACTCGAGCTAATGCATAAATTCATCCGAAGCTCTAACGCGTGTGTAAGTGTGTGCGAGTTGTATAGGAAAATCAGAGCCTCGCGTGCATACGTACACGGGTGCGCGCGCGAGAGAGAGAGAAAAAGGCTTATCTCGGCGACGGACGTGATTAATTGCCATCGATGTATATATGTACGCGCCGAGTGCAAGATGCAGCGGCCAAATGTTACTCGGCGCGGGTGACCATTCGACGCATTCCAAGCGGATTCGGACTCGTTCTGACGTTTCTCTCTCTCGACGACATGTGTATGAGTGACCGAACTAGAACGACAGGTGCCTGTTTACTCTCGATCGGACGGAAAAGAAAACACACATCTCGCCACGCAACGCACACGAATATTATATCTGTGAGCGCGTGCTCCGGTTCAACGAACATAATATCAACCGTAATATGTGCTCGCAAGCTAGCCGCGTCGTATATGCATCGGCTAATATCGTTTGAGGAAAAAGTCTCTCGATCTCGACGCGCTGCGCGCCGACGCTGATAGTTAACAGCGGCTTGATGCAATTCAACTGCATTCGAATATGGCATAATAATTACGAACGAAAAGTTGCTTGCTCGTTGCGAAAATTCAAAATCATCGCGAGTGGGACGCGATCCAAACGAACGAAAATAAGACAGCGCGCTCGGAGAGCAAAAAAGGTAGACGCGATCGGTTGCGGCTGCTGCTGCTTCTGCACTTGGCGATAAGTCCATAAACAAGAGACAGCTCGCTTGATTTATACGGGGCGTTTGCGAGCGGCGAGATAGTCGTCGCGCGACCCTGCATTGACTCTTTTTTTTTTGCATTTACATATCGTCTGAGAAGTTTTTCCTTTTTTTTTTTTTTTTTTCGTATCAACGCGAGCGATAAGCGGGCAATTTTTTTCACGAGCTCAATACCCCGGCAGTTCAAAAGAAGCGCAGCGAACGAACGACTGCAGTAAAACTAACTCGCCTCTGTACGGATTTTCATAATCGGATCGAGTAAGCGAGTTCTAATCGTGACTTTTTCAGCTTATGACTCGAGAGATACTTCGATTCTTGGTGAATGAGCGATATTTCATTTTATCAATTATGCGCTCGCGCTCGGCATCTAAATAAAATACGCGATGTTAATCAGTGTTATTTTTTGTCGCAATATTTATATACACACTACTGTACACTAACGTGAACGCGCACACACAAGCGCACAAACATGCAAATGATGATGATCTTTTCGAAACATTTAACGTCGTCGCGGAAAATAAATCTGCGAGCGTTGATCCGAGTGTCGATAAGACTCGAGCTAAATATATATTATATTATATCCACCAAGTTCATGAAATTTGTGAATCCGACGGGCATCGATGATCGAGCGCTGAAAATACAACGTCGCGTCTGAGGTGCCTCACGCTATACTCGTAAATTCCTTGAACGAAAATGGCATTTTTCCTGCAAACGCGTCGCGGGCAGCTTGTCAGGCTCGAGCGTCGGCGAGAAAAGGAGATCGCAACGCGTAAACGTACACGGTGCTTCGGCTAGCATTGTGCAAACTCACAATTTAATAGCTGTGATGCATTTTTAAAGCTCTCTGTTGGTTAATACACTCGTTGTTGTTTTTTTTTTTTTTTTTTCAAGTCGTTCAATTCGTCTCGTCGTTTTATCCGCTCGCGTTGTAAAATATATTTATGAATAATGGAACAATGCGCGCGATGCACTCTAGTGCCGAGTGAAATGCAGCTCTCGCATATACTTCCCAAATAACGATTATGAGTTGAGGGTGAAAAGACGCCGCTAAGCTGGCGCCTCTGCATGACGAGGCGTAAAATAAATATGAGCTTCGGCAGCTATATAAAAAAAAATTACTATAGTCCCTCATAAAAACGAGGATGCGTATAATATCCTTTGAGAGCGCCTGCGCCTGCCCGTGTAGAGCTACGTGCAATTTTGTGCGCGTACAGCACATGTCATTTTAATTATATTCCCGAGCTGGTATTAGAAAACTTAAACGTCGATCAAACATATTTTCTGTAAAGCACTCGAGGAGAGAAAGAGAGATGTCGAGTGTACGGGAGAGAGAGAGAGAGAGAGAGAAAAAAAAACACTTGACTCGCGGGATGAAAGGATAGCAGCCGCGATGAGAGATTCAATGGACTGCTGCGCGTACGAGTCATTCAGATTTTCGCGAGCGGCCTGCGCGAGCGCACCTTCGACTGCATATAACATCCTAGTCGTTTTTGATGGCCGCCTTAATGCACCTCGCGATTATTAATATAATTTATAGAGCTGATACGAAAAAAAAGATGTACGAGTAAAATTGCGTAAGTGCGGAGTTTCGCGCGTGTTCGCATTATTAACGAGGCCTTTAATTATATACGTATGGTCAAGGCTCGTTTTAAAATACGAGCGGGAGGGACGAAGAAGCGGCACGGCGATTTTATAAAAAAAAAAACCTACCAGAAGGTACATCATAGGCACGTTTCGAGAGTTCGTTCCCATCGAGTTTGCCACGTTCCGGTTTTCTGTTTGACCATTTTTTGGGATAAAAAAGCGAGTTTCGTCCGCCTAACGATCGTGTTGATTTTTCTATTTTTTGTTCTCTTCTTTTTTGCATCTTTTTTCATCTTTTAATATAACAAAGATGGCAAAATGTTTCTCACGCTGCATGCAAATGTTTCCAACTCAAGAAACCATGAACTTGCGAAAAGAACCTGAATGATAAGGCCTAGTACCTTGCGGTACCCACGTGACTTGTTTTTCGTTTTCGTCGGTTCATCGGCGTAACCTTGATAATCGCGACGGACGCGCAAAAAAAACTACCAATTGATAATCGCACAACAATCGCTTCCTTTTTTCCTTATCCCTTCTGCCTCTTTTTTCGAATTATAACAAAAAATCGTTAAAATTATGTGCGCGAAATAACGAGTGGACAGGCCTAATACCCGGCGAGAGGAGCTGCGCGATTACTTTCTTATCTACATCACAGCTAGATATACACGATCCTCTTTTTTTCTCTCTCTCTCTCTCTCTCTCTCTCTCTCTCTCTTGGTGGCGATTACAAACTTACATACATACACCGATTTGGTAAAATACTGCTGTCATTGCCGTGTGGCAAGGATAACTGCATTTTCCGCACGCGACCGCCTTTGAAGTTTATCGCAAAGTTGTACGAATACCGAGAGAAAGTCCAGGAGTTGTTGTCGTTTTTTCTCGATCGAAATTTAGGCAGCCAAACAAAATATGCATATTTTATTAAAGCGAGCAACGGTATTACTATCGTTCGATGACATCATACACTTACGCATTTTCGATCTTCGTCCGTTCTTCGTTCGTTTGTAATGGCATCTGTAATTAGTAAAAAAAAATATTAAAATGAAAATGCGGGCGGCTCCTTTCATAAAAGGACGAGTGCCAAAACGACTGTTGTTAATTAATTGAAATAAAAATTCTGCGCTATGCTTTTTCATGTTTATCGAGCCCCGACTCATAAAGTGTCATCTCGCGCCGGGGACTAAGTATTTCGTGTAAAAATTATGATTTATCAAATTGTGATTATTGCGAAACGAGTCCCTTTCGAACGAACTTGTGCGCAGTGTATAACGCGGCACGTGCACCCGTATACGCATGTGGCACTTGAAAAAGCAAAAATTTGCGCGGCCTTTCTTTATCTCCAGCTCGTGTACCATATCGCGTATATCAATAGAGTAACACGTACAGCTTCCGAGATTGGATATGTGTAAGTGCGTGCAAGTTGCTTATCGGTGTATATTATAACACGACCGGTTTGGCCTCGGCTAGATAATATAATTTGAATTCCGCCGGTACGTAGTAAAAAAAAAAAACAAGTACAAGTAGATTTTTTTCCAACTTCAGTCGAAGTTCACTGTCAGCATCTCATTTCCGTCATATAATCGGGGATGGCTCTTTTTTCGTGTGCTCTCGTTCGAGCGCCAGTCATCCGTTGCGAAAAGCTTATTTATTTACACGTCACGAGAGGCAGACACGTACGTTGCAGTTGAGTAAGCTGCGCGTGCCACTCCAGCACTTGTTGGCTATACATGAGACTCGGCATTGGCTATTTATGTAGCATGTGTGTGTGTGCATCGGATCTATTTCACGGATACATTAGCCAGCTCGCTGATCTAATTGATTGAACACATTGTGCACACTGCCTTTTATTGCCTTATATGAGTGTGTGATTCGCCCCTGTACGATTCAATCGTCTATAATATCAGATCACAAGATAAATCAAGCTAAAGTTCCCATTTTTTTTACTTTTTCATAGATTTCCTTTTCTTTTGCTTCAAATTTTGCACGTCCAGCTAGATGAACTCTTTCGGATGATTTTCACTTGTTAGCACCTCTGAAAATGTTCATAAACAATGTTCAGAGTTGTCGTGAGATCAGGATCGCATATACTACACGCATACATAGCTTCGGACATTTTATATTGCCACTAGATGGTGCATGATAATAAAAGTACTTTTTACTTTTCGTCTAATAAAAACAAGACTTTCTCGCTTAATTTGGGCTTGCATGGGAAAAAATTTAGGTGTATACAACTTTTGTCAGTATGTTTTCGGTGTTACGACTCTTCCAATCGCTTTGGAACGATGTCCCCATGACGGGACGTACAATAATTTAAGTATCAGTAAATAAATTACCAAAACCATCGTGTGCACCCAATTACACGAATATCTTCAAATTTTAACAAAAATTAAATCGGAGAAAATTAATTATTCCATTCGTCAAAAGAGGTCAATATAGTCTTTCATTTTACTGAAAAGATCTTGCCAGCAGTCTTTGAATGAAATATTAGTCTCATTCGGCTACTACGCTCGTGCACTTGAATGATATCAATCAGTAAAATCGGTCGAATAATATATATTGCCTGCAAATTTGGAGCTTTATGATAAAAAATAGCAAGTGAAAATATGTTTTTTAAAACAGTTAGTTTTGAATGGAAAGAAAAATTTTAAATTAATTTGATAAACTAAGAATATTTTACTATACTTTAGGATTCTTTAAGTTAATAATAACAAGCACAATGGTGCCACAAAATAGAGTTGTATTATAAAAATTGACACATCTATGATATGACGAAGATACGCTACGAATAAGTTTTAGTTGCAACAGCAACCGTTGAATTGAATACGATATTATGGTTGAACTCGGTGACTAATTTGGTTGCGCGTGCACCTGGTGCACTGCGCGTCTGTTCCAGCAGCCGGCTAGTACGCAGGAACGTGGAGCATCGGCATCGGTGGTACTGAGCCTCGCTGGAGGAGCATGTCAGCAGAACAGCAGTACCCCTAGCAGCGTCGGCGTCGGCGGCGGCGCCTGTATCAGCGACTCTTCCTCCATTCCCAGCAACAACAGCAGCAACAGCAGCGGCGGCGGCGGCAACAGCGCGGCCAACAATCCCAACGGTCAGCAGCAACGAGATCACAGCCCGTGTCTACCGGCGTCCATGGGTGATGCCGCGCGACCGACGACCCTACCCTCGAGTCCGACGACGCCTCGAGCTCAGCAGCAGACACCTACGTTACAGCAGCAACAGCAACAGCAACAGCAACAGCAGCAGCAGCAGCAGCAACAGCAGTGTGGACAGCCCGGTCACACGAGCCTGACGCACTGCAGCACCAATAATAATTGCTACGCCGATCCTGCCTCTACCCCCTACGACTCGAGAGACTACGGATCACCGGGAGGTAAGGCCACCTTATTACGGGTTGCAGTACTGAGCGATGCGCGACGAGTTGCCGATATGCCGTGGGAAATAGTCGTCGCGGTGCACATGAGAAACTCTTTTTTTTCTCGCACCTCCTCTCGCAGTTCTCGCGCTGTTCCGCCATTACTCTTTGGGTCACGCAGTTACGGCCTAGAACCTTTCTCGGCTTTCCAAATTGGACTTTTTGCCGTAGCGATGCCTCGAACTTTTCGCTTAATAAGCGTCGATTACCAACGTGTACGAAAACGGTCGACTCTTACGCGTTGGCACCCCCCGCGCGGGGCAAGGCATGACCCCAAGCCTCGTTACCTGCGGCTACTGCCGCACCGAGTGTGGCTCTAGGTACACTCATAGACATGTACTTGGCGGCTACTTGCCTCAACGCGTTACCTTCCTTTTTTTTATCATCAGCTTTCTCCTCGCGAAAGGGGGCAATACATATCGCAATTTATGGAGTGAAAGGTCTCGAGAGCGTCGAGAAGGTGTTTTTTTGTACCATTGTCGTATTCATTGCTCCAAGATTCAGAGTCAACACCTCTAGCTGAGTCGCTCGCGCGCGCACGGTGTGACATCGCGAAATCACTTTTTACCCCCTTTTCTTTTGCATCTACCGTTCGTCTCCCTACCCGTATGCATCGTCACTAGTACTCGACCGATTGATGTGTTCAAGATCAGCCTTCTATGCTACCTTTACACGGTGCATCATTAATTCTGGCTAACTGTGCGTCTCTGTTCAACTAGTTACTTATTCTGTACTTTTATACGTATTTATTCTTATAACTTGATTCTGTTTGATATTTGTATTTAATCTTTATATTTTCGTACCTTTTTCTAGCGCTGTTTGCAGCTTAAAAAAATCTAACGAGAAACAATTTGCCAACAGATTCGAACGAATACCGCGGCAGCAACAACAACTACGAGCACACGAGCGACCTGAACATGCCGCCGCACATACAGCACCAGCATCATCAGCAGACGATACTGCATCAGCACTCGGCGGATCAGGGCCAGCAGCATCACGTGGACGCGATACCGAAGCTCGAGCCACCCTCGACGCCGCCCCATCATCACCAGCATCATCATCCGCATCATCCGCATCACTTTCACGGAGCCCAGCTGGAGCAGCATCAGCAGCAACAGCAACTAGTCATCTGCGCCGGCTGCGGCTTCAGAATCGCCGATCGATTTTATCTGCAAGCGGTGGATCGACGGTGGCACTCCTCGTGCTTGCAGTGCTCCCATTGCCGACAGGGCCTCGACGGAGAGACGACTTGCTTCTGCAAGGATGGAAACATCTACTGCAAAAAGGATTACACCAGGTGAGTTTCATATCGACCATTGCGCGTCCCGATTCTATTTTCATATTTATCTGGCGGGACAATCACGTCTTTTCTCAACTCTGCCTGTTTGGATGCGTATACGACGATTGAAAGAGAAAAAAAAAGAAACGAGTAAATAATACCTTGTCCACTTTTCTTTCTCTCCTTCTCTTTCTGCCGGGCAACCTATCATTTAATCAATCAAAGCACGAAAGTCCCTAACAATGCTCGGTAATAATGATAATAATGATTCGATGCTAAGAGTCGAGGAAAAGGAGAAGAAGAAAAAAAGAAGTTGCTCGCCTATACGAAATTGGACAATCGTGAGGACATTTATACATATAGAAAGAACGGCCCCGGCTCTCCTATTAGGCCGGCGACGCAATTCAGTTTCTCGACTTGGCTCTCTGCAATTGACCATATTAATTTTCCTGGGAATCGTGATTCGGAACGGCCGTAGTGGCGCGATACTGCACTACGCTGCACCTTGTAATGGTCACGACTCGGCCATTTACCGCCGGCGAAGCGACGATGCGCGGCCAGCGATAAGTAAATCGAGAGGCCCGAGCGCGCATGTGTGTATTCAAGGACGCGACCCGCTCGTGCACTTGCAGTCTACGATGCACGACTTTCTTCACGACTTGCCTTTTTATATTTATACTTCTAAAAAGTCTATTGTCTTTCTCTTTTTCTCTCTCTCTCGAAAGAGCCGAGCGAGTGCGGGCGCGCGTACATGTAAAAATACAATCAAAAGTCCATAAAGTATATTCCTAATTACGAGGAGTATGTATACAGCATAATACAAGCTCGAGATATCATCGAGGAATAAAAAATGAGAAAGAGATAGAGGCAAGGAAAGAAACTATTGTTCTCGTGCGTTCAGCAGTTAAATTAACACGTTGAGCAGTGCAAAGTTTCTCTCTTTCTCTCTCTCTCTCTCTTTCTTTCTGACTATGTGTTGGTAAGGTGCATTATATGAGATAATAATTCGCGCTCATAGCTGCGTGTGCGCCCGGAGAGATGTTCTCGACGCGATAAGTGCGCTGCGAGTAGGCGCTCCGCACAGGTGTCATTTGGACGACGACGACTACTCTTTCTTGCTCTCTCTCGTGTGCTCTTGATGCCTCGAGCTCACCGGCCGATCGATCGTTAGAGACAAATATTTTTCAATAGCTATAATGACTTTAAACGTTTTTAAAGATAATCATTAGGCATTCGTGCGGTTTTCTTCCTGCGTTGTGCGCGAGTGGGGCGACTCCCACGATAAAGAGTCGAAAACTTTTATCGACGATTCGCATCTCGCTCTCTCGGCGGACGAAGAAGCTACAAAATAAATATTACACATCTCGGGTTGCGAGGACGATAAAAAAAGGCAACGTAATACAAGTATAACATTTTAAAAAAGAGAAGTATATTATACAGCGCACAATCACACACGCATGGCATACACTGCACACGCGAAGCATCAAGGCGAAGGTGGTAAAAAGCGTGATTTACGACTGCACTGCGCTGCGCTGCACATACACGCGCGCGCGCGCGCACGGGAGGAACCATCTCGTCACCTTGCCCGCGCCGTGACGTTTCGACCCGATGTAAAGATCGACGCAACTACGTATTTCTTCCTCTCTGTTTTTTACATTTAGAATTTTCATTTTTTCCAATCTCTTATCTCGTTCGATTCTCCGTCGAGTCCAAAGATCGAACGGCCGCTTTATAAACATGTGTTCTGGCCGAATGAGTAGCCCACGTCGAATTAATTTATTTTAATTAAACGTGCGAATAAGTGTTGCTCCTTTCAATCGACACAAAATCGTTGACTGGCAAAGAAAAATACTTGATTTACAGTCCGAGGTATAAATTTACGCGTATCATCGGGAGCTGCTGCTGCTGCGGCTTTGCCGTGTTTTGCGTGCGTGCGTATCGATTCTCGGAACGTATATGTATGTACGCGCGAAATTTTATTTTCTCGATGACGAGTCCTCCGGCTCGAGACACGAGACAAAATACCTTTTTCAGTAGTTATTATGCGTGTATGCAAACGTAATATACGTAATAATAAATTACGCCACTGATTAAAATCTGTGGCGGGCTGCGGCAGCGACTTGTATATATACACAGTCCACAGACTCGAGAGCTCGCACACACGTATATATCGGATCGTAAAATTATAACTCGTATTTTCGTGTAGGTATTATGAATTTTAAATGGTTGGGACTTGTATGTGACATACACATTGACATCTTTATTCGGCCATATACACGTGTTATTCGAGACGTATCGATTTTTGCCGGCTAGCGCCCGTGAGAAAGGCCCGCAATTTCACAATTCGTAAATCAAAGGCAGCTCGCGCACCGCACCGCAAACTGCCCTCGAAAAGCTAAATCGCGAGAAAATAGTTTGTCAAATCGCATGCGCGCACAGTCGTATGCGCTCTTAATTATGCAAGTTGAATTACGAGACAGTCGAGCTCTAGCCGCGCTGAGATATTTGCTCGACGCAGTTATGACTCAATTATAGTCGAGGTGCTGATGCGACAAGCGCCGTCTCTTCTCTTAATATTCTTAATTTATACTTTGCAGCGCGCACATCGGAACTTTGAACCGTCTCGCTCGCTCGCGACTCAAAGAAGACGAAGAAGAAGAAGTGGCTGACTTTGGGTAAAGAAGCTGCAGCCTCCCGACTAGAACTTAAATATATATCCTTTACACGGCTCGCGACGTGTTTACGATGTTATCTGGCCAGCGCTGCTCGAGATTTTCCGCAGATACATTCGCGAAAATGAATAAATTCACGCGGCGAACGAGATAGCTGCTGCTGCTGGCTTGCGGATCGGCTACCGTGAGCTCGCGCTATTTTTCTCGTGTGTCACTCGGTGCGAAAGGAAAAGAGAGTCGCCGCGCTGCATGCATGTATACGTAGTTACTCGCGCACACGTTGTACAGATACATTGCAGCGCATCAAGGCCGTCGAGATTTTGCCGCGAGATAATAATCATGCAGCCTACCCTACCGACTTGACCCTCTCGGACTCGACGTCGTTCTCGAGTAATTCTTTGACAATCGCGCCTACGATTACGAGTAATTTTTTTCGCGTCGTTTTATCTCGCTGTTTTTTGGAGAAAAAAGCAGCTCGACGAAATTGTTGCATACGTCGGTGCGTACGCGTGAAATCGAATCCAAAAATTGTTCGAGTCCCACGACGCACCTCTCGTCGAATATAAAAACACGTAAAAGGGAACTCGACTCGGCCGTAAAACGACGTCGCCGGGAAAATTATTGCGACGAGGCACATGTAACTTGATTGAAAACTATATATAGACTCGTCCGCGTGCGTTTGTGTGAAATTTTTATTAACCAAAATATCGTACTTGGAGGAAAAAGAATACAGGGCATAAAACGTCGAGTGTACACAGACAGCAAGTGCATAAAAGACTTGTTCAGGAGTCGGCTTGTGTGTGCATGAGTGTATGTAACCTCAGGATTTTCGTTTTCTCTTTCTCTCTTTCTCTTTGAATTTGTCGTCGTCGTCGTCTATGTATATAGAACAGCTCTCGGTAGGGGTCCCCGCAGGCGTAAAGCATATTTCTCTTCTTCCTCCTGTCCAAGTGTGTGTATGTGCGCATGTATATTCTGCTGCAGGAGTGTACGTATCAAGTTTCGCACTCGCTGGATTAAGTCCTACATACACCCACCGCAGATGTATCTTCCTTTTTTGGTGCTTCCGAGGCTTTTTGTGAGCGCACGAGAAAATGTGCAAACAAAGTCGTAGACTGGACGCGCACAAGTTTGGAAAAATCTCGGGTTCTAATCTAGATTATGCGCGCCAAGTGCTCCCAGTGCATAAATCATTTTTTTTACTTTGGCAAGACATCTCGGCTCTTGATAAAGTGTTGCTTAGCACGTACGATGCGCTTAAAAAAGTCACTATTTTATGCAGTCGTGATTAATATTATTACGCTTGGATATTTGCGGACTTTGCACGCGTATAATGTTAAATGTACGCGTGTTACAAGAATGTGCGAAGCCGCGCCACGCATTCACGCAGCAATAACGATCGATACGTCGAACGTAATATTATTTTTTCGCTTCATTCGCTCGCGCCGGGCTCTCCTAATATTTCGTCGGATTTTCAGCTGCATCTTAGGCCTCGCACGCGCGCCCCTTGAAAATTTCGCCTCACAATAGGTGCTAGCTGCTAAAATCTCATTTATCGCTCGAGACACCCGCGGTGCTTTGTAGAATCCGGGCATATGTAGCGCATTATACGAGGCCTTAGGACCGCTTACCGAGTTTTCGAAAGGGGCGTGAATAAATACACGCACGCATAGGCACATTATAGGTATACGTTTCTGCTCGCGCCTCGTTGTACGCGCGCGAAATTATTTCGTGTATGCGTACGCGTCTATATAGCTGGGCTTCTCGCAGCGGAAAATGATGATCGAGTGAGACGATAAAAATCGAGGATTATTCATACGAAAATTAATGCGATATTAAGGATGTTTTCCTTTCACGCAAGAGTCAATGGGGATTATGTTGTACGGGGAATCAAAATCTCCACCGAGCATAAGCACGTAACGCGCGCGATATACAGTAGTGCGCCATGCGGTTTCACGCGACTGCCAATATATAGAAATTGTAACGGCTCGGCGAGGCTGTCGAGATAATTAAATAAACGAGCTGCGCATTGGATCGCATTGGGCTTCGCCACGGGTCGGAGTCGTATGAGAAAAAAAGGGTTGCGCACGACGAGATCGTTGCGAGTCACGCCGAGGTCGCGTTGGCTCTGTCTATATAATCACGGGCAAATCATCCGAGCAAGGGGGTATAATTTCGTCATATTGCGACAATGCGCTGACGATATTGCGCGCGCCTCGCGCGTTCCCATGAGCCGGTCATTCGCAAGGTGCACTGGAGCTGCTGCTGCGCCACTGCGACGCGCAAATTTTCTCTCTTTATCGTTGCCCGGCGCTTTCTTACACGAAAATGATCTCTAACAAAGTGCGTTTACATTATGCATCTCGCAGTCAGGGAAAAAAATGTCAGCTCGATAAAAAATATCGCGCGAGATGTTATAAGGAGAAGAAGAAGACGAAGAAGAAGAAGAAGAAATAGTTAGCTGGTCGGGCAGAAGAAGCAGTGAGCGGGAGAAGGCGAATGCACGAACGAGTGAACGAGCCAACGACTGGACGAACGAACGAACGAACGAAGAAGAACAAGCCAACGTCCAAAGGGAATATGTAAATGGCAAAGACAAGCCGAGGTTCGGCGACATAGCTACTGCATTAAAAGTGCATCTGTGCAAGCCTCTGCCGATTCTCCATTACCGCGTCTGTGTGTGTGTGTGTGCGTGTGTGTGTGTGTATGCGTGTTTGTGTGTGTCTCCGGCTGGCTGATGCATGTATATATCTACAAGTGATATCTTCTTGCAGTACGGGTAGCGCAGCAGCTATACCAAGCACTACCGAGCACTAGAGGCCAATATCAGTATTGGGCGAAATATATGTATTGCCTGGATTCGCGTGTATCTGCGGCGTGTCCGCTCGCAGAGAGGAAGAAAAAAGTCGAATATACCGCAGCGCGGAGTGCGCGCGGGTAAGGGCCCCCGGATACGAGCCTGAGTCCCGCGCCAGCTCGTATCGAGCCATTTTTTATCGTCCCGTCCGCGTGTGCGGCCGATTTATTTATGAATTTAAGAGGTGAGAGAAACTCGAGGACGAGCAGCCGCTCGCGTAATTGCCTTCTCTATATTAGCCCGAGCTGGAAAGCTCATAGCTCGAGAGCTCGCTGCCCATGAATATTCAAGCGCGTACCTCGATAAACAAGTATTTGCTCGCGTGGCTTGTACGACAAACTGTCGTTCGGACATTAGCTCTCAATATCTCTCTCACTTTTTTCTCTTTCTCTCTCTCTCACAAAAGCACACGCACAGTCACACACATGATCTCACAAAGAACCAAAAATGTTGGTCAATTGCAGAATGTTCGGCAACAAGAAGCGCTGCGCCCGATGCCAGGCGGCCATCCTCTCGTCGGAGCTGGTGATGCGCGCCCGGGAGCTGATATTCCACGTGCGCTGCTTCAGCTGCGCCGCCTGCTCGGTGCCTCTGACCAAAGGCGATCACTTCGGCATGAGGGACGGCACGGTGCTGTGTCGCTCGCACTACGAGATGGGCGCCGAGCTGCACCCGGCCCAGTCACCGCCGGTGCCCGTCTACCCGCCCGGGCCCCAGCACTACCCCGCGAGCTTCCCCTCGCCCGAGTTCCTAAGCCACATGCAGAGGCAGCAGCAGCCCCCGGTTTCTCAGCAGCAACAGCAACAACAGCCACAGCAGCAGCAGCAGCAACAGAGCAGTCCGGTGCTGACGTCGCTGCAGCAGCAGTGCGCGGCCATCGCGCCCGAGCAGCAACAGGCCGGAGGAGCCGCCGTCGTCGGAGCGGCTGTTCCGGTCTCGGGAGGCTGCGCGTCGCCGCCCAAGATGCAGCAGTACTTCAACGGGGCCTCGCCCGTGAGCCAGCAGCAGCAGCAGGCCAACAGCACCGGAAGCGCAGCCAGTTCGGTCGTTCAAGTGCCGCCGCCGAGGCAGAAGGGACGCCCGAGGAAGAGGAAACCCAAGGATCTCGAGGCCATGACCGCGAGCCTCGGTGACTCATGTTAGTAAACCTTCTTTTATTGGCTTTTTATTACTCGAGCTCGTTGCGCGTGCGAAAGGCTGTCTCGTCCAACGAGAGGTGTTGAATTTTTGCTCGTTCGCGACGCATTAATGGATTCGTACGATACGATATACACGTGTCTGCTTGTCTTGTAGCTTTTTTCATTAATATCCTCGTTATTTTGTTTCTATTATTTTGTGCTGTTTTCGTTTCGACGAGTTTGGCGAGACACCGGGAGTACGTCGATCGATCAAAACGGCCGAGCGATCGTCTCTCGATAATTCAATATACTCCGTGTAGCGCGTTGAATTTACATGCTCGAGTTTTTAGCTATAAGAATCGCGCGATTCTTCGCACGCGTCGTCGAACCGACTCGAGCTTATACGTGTGCAGTCTTTCTCATCGGACGAGTCGCGTCTGCATCGGCGCCAGTGAAATGATCCGTCGATAATCTCGCGTTGCACGACAACATGAATAAAATTATCGCTGCATGTATGGGACGTGTAGTGACGCGCGTAGAATCGGGATGAATGAAATTTCGAGATCGGCACGCACGTGGGTGACCGAATGAGTCAGGCTCGTTATTGACGAGTCTCCCGGATCAAAGCTGCGATCGATAAATTTAATCCGCTGCCGATCTTTCGTGGCGCACGCCATATGTCGCTTCAATAGCGATCAAGGCGCGAAAGCTCGATTCGAGCGGGAAACGGAGAAAAACTCAAAGAATGCTAGACTCTGCATATACATGTATTGCGTATAGTTAATTACTCGGGGAAACAGCGGACGTTATCGGGGATCTCTGGTAGGGCGATAAGGGACGCGGCGACAAACGAGCTCGAATAGGCTATAAGATGGTCGAGCTAATCGAGACGTCTCGCGAACGATGCTGTATTGCAGATCTGAACACGGACTACATCGACATGCCGTTCGGCCGAGGCGGTCCGGGCACGCCGGGCATGCCGGGCTCCAACAGCCGCACCAAGCGCATGCGAACGAGCTTCAAGCATCACCAGTTGCGCACGATGAAGAGCTACTTCTCGATCAATCATAACCCGGACGCCAAGGACCTGAAGCAGCTGTCGACCAAGACCGGACTACCCAAGCGAGTGCTGCAGGTGAGCCCCTCAAAGACACATGCTAGCTAGCTAGCTATATAGCCCACCGTATAAATCATCCTAGTCTCGCTCGCGCAATTCTTGCGGAGCAAAGGGTCGCACTTCCGAAAATATACAACTTATATATCGCGCCTCCAATTAGCGTTGCGCGCGCCGCTCGAGCTCGAACGTCGCTCGGGCCTGCAGTTCCCTAGTCCGACGACGACGACGACGACGATATTTCCGTCGACGCTCGCTATCGCACTCTTGCTGCAGCGGTGCAGCTTTCACCTACAACACGCGTGCTCGCATAAATCAGTCACAGTGTTGCCTCGTAGCTTGCTTTGCTGCGCTTCTTCTCTCTCTCTCTCTCTTTCTATACGTGTGCGTTGACGCTTTTTTTTTTCTTTCGACTGTCGTTCTTTAACGCCGCTGGCCCAATTATCCCGTGACGCGACTGCAGCAGCTACTCCTCGTCGTTTTCTACATCAAAGAGCGAAAGAGAAAAGTTTTTTCGCTCGGTTACATAGAAAATTTCCCTTTTTTTTTGCCCTCGTTGCGCTGCTATAGCGCGCGCAGCTTTGACAAATGCTCCTACACGCGCGTGTGTGCAGCTTTTTGCGCAGCTCTCGTTTATGTATATATACGCCACTCGGCATTCGCTACACGTTCGCTCCGCTATACGCGTTTATATATGAAATCTTGGGCCTCGTCGAAGCACAACAATGATATACCAAACGTATCGTACGTATCGCATGTGTAGCGCAGCCATTGCGGTAGGCGCGCGCGACGATGTCTGAATAACCCGTTCGGCTTTTCGAGCCTCGTCGTCGTCGTCGTCGTCGTTGGTTTTTTCTTGTCCAAGATCTACCAGCCGAAGCTTTCTCTCGAGCGCGACTCGTCCAACGGGTAGCCGAACGCCGAGCGAGACACTGCACTCGAGCCAGCTGCGCTGCTTGTTTTTTGGCTCGAGCTTATATGCGACGCGCGAGCATCGAGATGAGCCGGCCGCGCGCGTATAAATACGTAAAGTTGTACTTGCAAAATTACTGACAAAAAGAAAAAGAAGAGAGAAAGAAGAGAAAAAAAAACATGAAAGAGGGAGACGAGAGAGTCAAAGGGCCATTGTGTATCCCTGCGAATACGAGTCCCTCTGTGTGTGCGCGCGCCATCTTGCCTGATATTGATCGCGCGCGCGTAGCGTTGTGTACGTAGTATTCGAGCGAGCAGCAGCAGCTACTGCACGACGCCAACTCCGACTATATGTATAAAGCCAACAACGAAAAGTTTCCTTCTTTCGTTTTTCATCGTCTCGGAATATACGTGCTCGGCCGAAACCTCCTCCGCTGCGACGATACTGCGCGTCATCTCGAGGAAATCTGCAGCTCAGCCACGAGCAATTAATAGCGCTAGCAAATATTCGGACTCGGAGCGAGGAACCCTCCGAGCTGCTTTTCGAACTTGGCATACACGTTGTGCGCCTCACCCCTAGCCCCAGCTATTGTCTCGCCTGGCTAGGAAGGAGGAGCTGCTTCTCGAGCTATCTCGTTCTCAAAATGGCGTCCCCGACTTTCTTTTATTTTGTACATACATTCATACATACATACATACGTACGTACGTACCTGCAGCCCATACATATATACATGCTGCTCCGGGCTCTGCTACTGCTCCCCTCCGGTCTTACGCGTGTGATCTGCCATTCGATATATATACATATATTCCGTTTTCTTTCGCATTGTATCCGTAGGCGCGAGCGCGCGATGAGACGGCGAACAATACCAGCTACTACTCGCGGATAGGACGGAGACCAATGGCAAGAGGCTTTTATCGCTCTTGTTCCTTTTTTCACGCTCGGTATCCCCTATAGCGAATTTACATCTTGCCTCGGACCCTATATAGGCGTCCGAGTACAGCGTATACAGAACGACTAATCCAACGATCTCGCTTCGTTTTTGCTTCTGTCTGTTTGTCTTTAGGTCTGGTTTCAGAACGCCCGTGCCAAGTGGCGACGCATGGTCCTCAAGCAGGAGGGAAAATCCGACAAGTGCGTCGGCCTGGGCCCGAACGCCGCCAGCCTCGACGGCAGCGGCATGTCCGAGCTGGAGCTCTACGGCGGCGGAGGCAGCGCCGGCAGCACGGGACCCTCGCCCATGAGTCCGCACTTCGGCCTGGGAGGAGCCCACAGTCCGGCCTCGCTGGGATCGCTCGATTGCGCGTGACGCGACGAGCTGCTCCGAGAAGGATCCCCCTACTAGCCGCTCATGGCCCGATCCTCGAGCATGTGATAATAGCAAAGAGCAGAGACTCGGCCACGACCTGCGGCGAATAATCGAGAGGCATGGCTCGAGTATGCGAATTCGTGCGCGCACTGCACCTAGTATACGTTATACGGATTATCGCGAGTACAGCGAGTTTATCGCGAGCAATGCCGCGCGTATATAAAGCTGCGCATTTGTTGGCCGCCGAGCGCGCGATAAGCGCAGCGCCGCGAGCCGACGAGCAAAAAAGCCAGCCGAGGTGCTTACAACGTGCTCCTTTGCTGCGCTATAGATGCCACAATCTCGAGAGTACGATATTATTTCTGCGCGCGCGCGCGCAAAAAAGAGAGCGCAGGAGGATATTTATCGGCGCGCCAATGCGCTCTTTATCCCCCCGTGTGGCCATTTCGACTGAGCTTGATATTTCTGGGGCCCGCGCGCGGCCAGCCTTGTAAAATAGCCTCGACCGAATCATTTGTACATAGTCATTTTTCGACTGTAAGATAAATCCAACGAGTTTGCGTGATCATATCGAATGGGTGCGATTGCAGTGTAAAAACAAATTTACGATTACCTAGTTGAGTAAGCGACATTTATAGATTTATATATGAATATATGTAACGTGGACTGCAGAATCTTGATTGTACATAGTCAGAAAAAAAGTGTTTATTTCCTGTATGCGTGCGCGACTGCACCGCAGCATGTACCGTATATATATGGTAAGGTAAGAGAGAACTGATACACATCGACTAGTGAATGTTGTAAAAATTATATATAGATAAATATATTGTATGTATATGAAAAAAATAGTAAGAAGCCGTGAGACGAGCCGGGCGAAACGTTAACGTTCCTTTTTTTGTCGATTAATAAATGTTTAATTTACGGCGTTGATCGGACAAAATGCACGCGACGTATGTGCAAAGACTTTAAGCGCCGCTTTTTTAACTTTTTACGTATACATTTCATGTAGTATTATTGTAATACGAAGTCGTCATGCGATAATTTTTATTTTTCGTCAAATATATTTTCACGATCACAATGTGTAAATCAGAGCCATTGACTTATTTTTTCACCCATTCCCAAACATTGAGAAAAACAGCAGCCGTCGGATCATTGTGCAACTCTGATGCATTTACCAGCGAACTCTTCTCAGATCTATAAAAAATATAATATAAACATATGAAATTTTCGAGTCATGTCTTATACATGAAATTGTGTGGGCAAGTTTCTTTTTTCCATTTTCAGGCCTTTGGCACATAAATATATACGCTTGAGAGAGAAAACGAAGGTAGTGTATACATGTACAGTTGAGAGAGAAAGAGAAAGAGAGAGAGATAGAGAGGGAGAGAGGGACAGGCAAGTGTGTGTGTGTGTGTCTGTGGGTAAAAAGCTGCAGAGCCGAACGACGAAGCAATTAATCTTTCGCTTTGGACAAGCAACTGCTGCTGCTTGGCAGAAAGATAGAGACTGGACTCTTTCTCTATGTGTCTCGTTGTACACATAAGGCATTCAGAGAACACACATTTCGTTTGCTACGCTTATATTCCAATTTTAGCGAAAAATAATCATTTTTTTTTTTTATAAAACGGGGAAAAATAATTTTTTGACAATTTTCAATCTCGCGATCCGCGCGGAGTCTTTGATGTCTGCGGACGCTGTGCGCTGCAGTGCACCGATGCACGTACGCAACGCGATTGAGCTATCTCGTTGAGTATATCGGGCGTTGCAACGTTTTCCCAAATCCATAAATAATATCACATCCGATCCATCGTTTTTTTTCTGTTTACTTTTTATTTTGCATACGCGTGTGTCAAAAAGTGTTAGAAACGACCGATGACAATCGAATTTTGTTACCAATCCAGTTGTAAAAAAAAGAAAAGTAAAAAACGTCAACTTCCTCTTGATGCGTCGTCTTATCGCATGGCGTCAAAATGTTATATTATTAAAAAAGGCTGTGCGAGAGCGGATGTCGATAGAGCGTTTGTAATGATCGATGAGCTCGACGACAACCTGTCCGCATACTCTGTTTTTGCCGCAGACTTTCTCGAGACCGACGCCGGAGATAAGGTGAGCCGATCGAAAAAGTATACATACGAGAATAAATTCATGTTTATTGCATAATAATTTTGTAAGCCACGTATATAAATATGCAGGCGTATTTAAAAAATAATTTTTTTCATTCAGCTGCGAGACTGTGTCGGATGAGTTAACATATATAATTCACTTTATGAGAGAGGGAGAGAGAAAGAGAGAAAGAGAAGGCAGTGATTGTCGAACAGCATTCAAGCATGAACGAGACGTTGACATTCGCACACACACGGACACATTTTGAGATTATCTTCCTCGTCTTCGACCTCAGTTCAAGTATAAAAAAGAAGTGGCAACAGCAGCAGCCGTCATCGCCTATTTCTTCGTTAACTTCTCTCTTTTAACTTTTTTATCCTCTTTGGTTTGTTATAATCTTCTTTTTTAGCTGCTCTTTCGATACTGATTTTTTTCCAAACACGACCTTATGTATGCACATACACATATGACATTGTGTCTACGTACCAGTTTCTTCGAAATCATTCAAATTTTGGTACATGCCAATAACTCTACGCGGTATCATCGTAAGAGTGAAATAATTCGTTAAAATTTGAATGAATTTTTATTTTTTGTTCTTGCAGAGAAAAGTGCATCGTTTTGCTTGGGTGGAGTGTTATATTTGTACTTTTTTCCGTCTCTTGTAGTTATCATCTTTGGCGAGTTGTTGTTTTTGCGCTTGACGCGCTAGAGGGTGACAAACTGCTTAGGATTCCAGAAATTCACTCTATCATCTAACCGAAACATTACGCACATGCGCGAGCTTCGACTCGAAGCTTTGCGCTTATTTTTTGCCCCAATTGCCTCCGATGCATCCCAACACTCGATCTTATTCACAAGTATTTTCGACAGTTTCGGATGTAATATAATTGCCAAGATCGACGTATTCATCTAAGCTTGAAATACTCGCAGGCTATCGATTTTCTACATTGAAATATAACGTATGAAGTTGTGTATCGTCCAAAGAATCAAAAGGCTCTTTACGCTCGAGCAGCGGTAGGCAGAGCTAATTGGTAGGATTACGCGGGCGCTTGTTAGTTTCTGCGCTGTGCACTCGGGAGCTTAAACACACACACACACACGTACGCGCAGGGCCATACACGCGCCTAACAGATACAGCGGGCAAAGAAACAAATACACGTGCATTAATATACGCGTGTTTTCTTTCAACTTTGCTTTTCGCTATCATCGCAATGACTTGTCGCTTATAAGCGGCTGTGACAAAAAAACTATATATCCTTTAAATTAAGATGTATAATGCACGGGAGCTTAGATTAACATCTACGCGCGCCGCTTATGAAGCCTTTCTACAAGCCCCGGTAGTTACGTAAACAATATTTAAAAATCTCGAGCTCGTGCAAAATTACTCATTACGTATATTGACCTTTTTAATTGGTCGATATTTTTTTTTATCTAATCGACATCAACTTAATTTTTTACTGCTTCATAGTTGCATTCGATTTACGGTAATATTCATAATAAAATGTAAACACCGATCGATTTTAAAAATCACATTATTCCGCGTAAATCATTTAAATTTCTAATGTTTTTAATAGATTTTAATTCCTTAAAAAAATTTAAGAAAAAAATTACTTAAAAAAGGTCTAACTTTCCTTATACAGTTGATTTTCAAACATTAACGCCTAACCCACTATCGTAATATATGCAGATGTGCTAGCTATTAATAAAGGTTTTATTCTATCATAGGTGCTGAGCCCCAAAATAATTATTAATCTAAATTGAATTCGAAAAATTGTAAAATTTTCACTTCAAAGTTAATTTAATGTATTGAGGATTAGATTCAATCATTTAATATTTAATTTATGCATAGAAAAAATTCTTTCAATTTGCATTCTTTTTAAAATGTTATGTTGATGTAGAAGCCACAGAGTTGTTGAATAATTTTATGGTTCAATTTAGACTTTATGTGTACATTTCAAATTACACTGGACTTGAATCTATCTGAAATCAGTGTCTTATAATGTTCACGTATGACGATGTAGCTTTACATGTGAATTTTAATTTAATTTTTGAGCCTATTACACTCGAATGATTCAAGCCATATGCATATGCATACATACACGAAGACTGCTTCGCGTCTCTCTGTTTCTTTCTTTCTCTCGTCGGTAGGTAATGAGTTTTACCATGACAATGATTTACCGGCGCCTCGAAGGCTAATCTACATTTGTTTATTCATTCTTTCCTATAAGAAGCCCTTTGGGCCTGCGAGCAATGATTTAAAGCCTCTCGATACTGTTTTCTCAAAGCAGCATATGGATTTATAGCCTTTTATGCTCGCTCTATTCTCTTCTTCCTCTGCGTGGTACCTCGTTTTGTGCCTCGTCGATCCTCCGCTGCTGCTTTTTTTCCTCTTCCTCGTTGGCTCTCGCGAGAGGATGTAGAGAAACTCGTTACGTCTTTCTTTTGACTCATTTGTTCTCGCAGCTTATTTGCTTTTTTTGTCAGCTCGCGGGTGTTGGTTTCTATCCTATATTTCGCGCGCTCGCTCGCTCTCTCGCCTGCGCCTGAGAGTATGTTGCGTGCTGCTAGGCTGCGCGAGTGCGTCTCATTCAATTTGTGCGCGCGGCTAGGTAGGAAAAATTAAAATTTGATTGACTGAGCGACAGTATCTGCCGTGTCCTGGATAGTAATTAACGCCGGGCTCCGCCATCAAGCTGTATATTATATTATATACTTTTGTCATAAAGCTCGAGCTGACGCCTGACAGTTGAAAAAGCTTACTGTTATACGCGCTCTCTCGGTCGCGGCAATTAAAAACAGTAGCATAAGCATTCTCCATTGAAAATTCCTTAAAGATATTTTAATCAATTGAATCTCATCAGTATTGGGAAAGAATCGCAGTACGCAACAATCCCCGCGATTTTTTTTCTTTTTGCCTCTTAGTCAGCGAGGCAGCAAGCGCAGGTGTCTCAGGCTAGCATATAAATTATACGCGACTCTCTGAGCGCGTGTCCGCGTATAGTAGCCGAGAGCGAGCGTATCAATTGATACAGTGCGCGCACATTACGGAGGTTTATTTAATTAAGCCGCTCGTCGCGCGTAAATCTAACTGCGAGACAAGCCGATTGCGCTCTCCGAGCCTAAGACTCTTCCGGTACGTGCATGTGCGTGTAGCACTTTTATGTGTAGCTGCAGCGCATTCGACGATTGGCAGTACAATGGCGGAACCCGGCGAGCGGCGACTCTTTTTTTTTCTTCGTTTCGAGAAGAAGAAGCAGCAGCGCCCGCGTGTAAAGTCGCCGCCATTAATATTTTTCTCATCATAAGGTGAAATTCGCCGGCGAGGAGGAGGAGGTGGAGCTTATTATCGCCGAGCACGGCGAGAGGAAAATTCGATCGGCTTCTCCGAAAGCAAAGCTCATACACGTTTGGCTCGTATAAATCTGCACATTTTTCTCTTGGAAAAAAAAGCCAAGCAAAGCTTTTATCGTCGTTCGCCGAGAGCTGCTCGACTACGAGAAGCTCTGCGCCGCTGCTGCCTCTCTGCTCTCCAGATGTTGATAATGCCGCTAACGATGTCTAGCGCCGGGCGTTACTTTAATATCGCTCGAGTCGACGTCGCGCCTACATCCGATTTCTTTTTTGGCAAACGACGCGTGCCCGATCGCAAGCCCGTAAGACCACCCGTGCTACGTTGCGAGACTTGTTGTGTGTGTGTGGAGCGCGAGCCTTCGTTATTCCCACCTTGCTTATAGAGTAGCTGTGTACATGCAACCGTCGACGATTGAGATATCGCGTCGCATGACTGAAGCTCGAGACCAGCTCAAGGTTATTATTGGCTTCTTGTTATGCGCCCCGAGAGAAAGAAAGACTGCGAGTAGAAGAAAGAGAGAGAGAGAGAG